TCCAGGAAGGTTCTTACCTTAATAGTTTTGAATTCCTTTTTCCAGGGATAAAGAAAGAGATTAATCCCAACAGTCTCCAGCATACTGAATGCACTATGGAGAGAATGTAAACTTGAAGATTTCAGAGATCTGAGGGAGTTTTCAGCCATCTCATAAAATTTAATCAACCGGAATCTATAATAGGGATCGATTTTGGGAAGGCATAGCAAGGCTGACGCTGCCACTCGCAGATATTCATCATTAATAGGACGCTGCTTATCAGAGGCATTCAGTTTGGATTCGTGGAACTGTACATATTTCCTAAATAAATCGTCTTTGTATTTTGTATCCATCGAAATAGGAATGTGGTTCACTCTTGGGCAGCTACCTTGCCTCTTTCATGGTTACTCTGGAGCAGGCTGGTTATCTGGCATTTGGAGTTCTCAGTAACAGCAATTCTTCTGAAATAAAAAACAAAAACACAAGAGAGAAGTCACACCATCTGTACTAGTCTAGCATACCCTTAAAGTCTAGGAAATAGTTCACATAACAGAGGAGTCCAACCACAGGCCCTTCAACTTTCTGTGAATGTGGACACAAGCCTCTTGTTCTCCCTGAAGCACCCTTCCAACTATTATACAGATGTTCCCCATTGTGCCCAAGCCAACTGGATGCAGCCTCAGCCTGTAGAGGCAGCTGAGATGCCTTCAGGGTCCTACTCATCAGAACACAATAGTTTACTGACTAAAGGGCCTAGGTACCATGAACACACTGGACACTTGAGTCTTAGTAAAGTCGCACAAAGAGAAAAATCATTTTACTTTGGCTGCATCAGAGGAAATGTTGCAAGACAGAATGCAGAGGGGGTCTGTCTGCTTAACTTCAGATCACTCCCGTGTTTCTCTCTAGCTGCAGGACACTGATCCATGCACTGGAGAGACCATCAATCAGCCTTATCCCTTCTATCCATGCCTTTCATACAAACTCATCCAGCTACATAGAGTCTAATCTGCCACCAGGCTGTAGCTACCCTAAACATCTCTCACAATGGTGGAACAGTGCATATACAGCTCAATAGGCAGAGCGGGCATTGATAGGTACAGCCAAGGTTTTAGTCTGCATCTGGCACTTATATCCAAAGGCCAAAAAGTTGGTGCCGCTGCTTTCTTTGAAAGATTATGTTAACATAACGCAAACCAGTCATTTATGGTTTTTACCCGGGAATTGACATTTGCACTTTTGCTTAACTGAATTAAGGTCTCCTGCACAAAAGAGCTCTTTCCCCTGACTTACAAAGTGCTATTTAACTAAATCCCTGAAGCACAGACGTCCAAGTGGACATGGACCACCTGCTGTATTTGTGGTCTGGACATCAGATCTGACATAATATAAGCTTTCATTTTTAATTGATGTACAGGTCTGATCTTTACTTTTACAAGCACAATCTCCCAACTGTGGCACATGTAAACTAACAGTGTTGTCTTCCTGGGTTTGCAGTCAGCCTGAAAAATTCAGAAAGGTGAACTTCTCCACCACATATTAAAAGTTACTGCCATCAGTAACTACCTTGGTCTTTACAGAAAGAAAAGCAGCAGAATTCTGTTACTCGATTAAAAACAATGACAATTAGACTACAGGACACAACTCCAAAGGGAAATTGTTTAGGTCATTCAGGGCAAACTAGACTATGACAGGGAACAAGCTGAAACTGGTAGGGAGCTGAATGCTTTAACTCTTCTGTTTTTTTGAGAGATGTATGAAGAAGCAGCTTTGTTTGGCAAGACAAAACATCCTCTGAAGGAAAAAAAAAAGGGGGTGGGGGGATCCTTCATAAAGACCTCAGCACTGCGACTTTCATAGCCACCTCCAGCTCCAATTACAGCTTGCCACTTGTGGATGTGCCAGGGTTCACTAAAAACATGGCTGCAAATCAAAATATGAAAGACGACGACAACAGATGACAGCTTTCGAGAGCATCTGTTTTGCCTGTTAACATTTACAGTTTCTGGGAGTTCAGACTCTAATCTCAACCAGTTCACTAATCATGGGGTGGGTTTCCATAGGTGTTAGGTGGAAACAGTTTACTTTTGACATCTCTGATTAGAGTACTTGGTAAGTACTGTACACAACTTGCCCTTGATTAATACAGCTGGAAGAACAGTGGTAGCTCAAGAGAATTCATCAAAATACAAAGCCCTTTCACTGCAAGTGACTTACAAGATTTTAATGTCTTACGGCTGATCTCTGACCTAGTGAATGGTGGTGATCTTAGCCCAGTGTCTAGTGGACATAAAGAAAAAACATCTAAATCTAGTCCCTTCAGTAAAAGTCGTGGCAGGGAAGTCAAAGGGTAGATGTGCCGGAGAGATTCAGTTATCCCCAAGGTAAGACAGGAGCGAACATACGGTCATAGCAACATGAGGAAAACGTACAGTGTGGCTACTTAGGCCATCATCTTTATGTGAGATAAAAAAAGATTTTCATCTCTAAAGATTTTGCCATACACTAAAAACAGCTACAGAATTGCACTGAACATAGGAAAACGCTTAGCCACAAAAAATGGTTGGCAATGTTATGAAACCCCAGATGAAAAATGAAGATTAAAAAAAAAAAAAAAAAAAAAAAAAGCAAGAAACATGCACGTGCAACCCTTATTCAACGACAACCATTTCCTCTAAAGTATTAAAACCCAGTTCCAAACACATCTGAAGAAGCCTTGCTGGCGGGTATTTGGGTGCGGATTGTTTTCCTTACAAGAAGTGCCACCTTCACGGCTTTCTGCCTCAGCAAGAGTGGTGGCATCCCTCCTGCAGCTGCTCTCGCTACAGCAGGCCAGCCTCTGAAAGCCAGTGCCTAAGGAAGGCAATCACTTCTGTCCCACAACAAAAGCTGCTGTTTCGGATGTGTCTGCAAGGTCTGATTTTGCACACAACGTCTCTAAAGCAGCCGGGCAGAAAAAAAAATCCCCCGCTCCACAGAAAAGCCTCCCTGCAGCCATTTCTGCCCCCGGCGCAGGCAGCTCTGGGGCTGTTTTAAGGAGGCATTTTTCAGAGGAAGCCCAGACGGAAACCCAGCGCTGCCCGGCAACCCGGAGGCCCCGCAGTCCTCCCCAACCGGCGCGCGCGGCTCGCCCCGACGCAGCAACGGGCCCGGCCCCGCGGGGGCTCCGCAGGGAGCTCCGTCCCCCGCTGGCTCCCACCCCGGGCCCCGCCCGGCCGCCCGCACTCACGGAGCGGAGCCGCAGCCACCGCCAGCCGGAAATCACCCGCGACCCGGATGCAGACCCCGAGCGCCCCCCGCAGCCGGAAGTGACCCCCGCGCTGCGCCAGCGGCGAACCCCGGCTCAGCGGCTCGCGCATGCGCGCTTCTCTCTCCGACTCCAGCGAGAAAAAAATCCCGCAGCCCCTTCCCCCACCGGTTTGAGCCCCCGCCCGGAAACAGGGGAGTGACAGCTACAACCCGGAAGTAGATAGTTGGGGGATGACATAAGGAGCGTGCTGTCTTTTTATGCGCATGCGCCTTGATGACGTCACGCCGAGGGTGATGTCATCGAGAGGATTTAAAGGGCGAGAGGAGCATGCATCTGTAAGAAGGGTTTTGTTGGCTCTTTTCAGTCTGGGCTAATACTTGAGCTCTGCCCCAGCGGAGGGGTCCTGAGGCTGCCACCCCCGTAGCAAGATGTGTTGCCCTGTTATGGTGGTCTCTGTGACATGGGAAGGTGCCTTCACATGCAAGAGGCAGCATCCCCCTGCATGGGGCAGTGCCAAGGCTCCTTGCAGTCAGGGGAGCAGGGCTGTGAGGGGCCTCTGGAGGTTGTGTTGCCCAGCCCCTCCTGAGGCAGCATCACCCCTGTCCTAACCACCCTATCTAAACCTCCACTAAACTTGGCATAAGGCTACCGTCACTGCCAACACAGCACAGGCCTCAAGCCCCAACCTGCCATGGGCAAGGCAGGGGAACCAGGCAGCCAGTGTTCTGCTTCTATGGGATGTCATTGATATACGCTCAAGAGATCCTAGGCTGAGGGCTGTACCCCTGCTACAGAGGAAGGCAAACCCCCAGGCTGTACCAGTCTGACCATGGGGTAACATTTTTTCCTGACCCTGAGTATCAGTCTGACCCTGAGCAAAGGGCAAGAGCCTCTGGCTTTGGTCCCAGCAGGAGCATATGCACCCCACAAAGTCCCCCCAAGCTCAGCTGTAGCCAGCACCCAATGCCCAAGTCTTAAACCCCCCTGACACATGAAGCAGAAGGGGGTGGGGGAGCGACCAGTGAAGCCCAGAAAAGTGGGAAATACTTAATGGTTCTAAAGTCATGATGCCTTTAAAGACGCTTCTGTTTTCATTTGTCATCTGAGTCCTTGGAGGTTCCCGTTGGTCTCATTCCTGATGTGTTCTGCAGCCACAAAAGTTGGAAGTATTTTAATGGAAACTGTGAGTCTCATGGCATTATAGGACTGGCAGCTGAGGCTTTGGGAGAAACATTAAATTATGTGGGAGTTGTCAAAAAAATCTCAAGAGTTGACAGTGGGGGGTGATATTTGTTTTTGGGGCATCCATAGCACTTCAGTGTATGCAGTACAGCAGTGCTCAGTGCAGCTGCCTGTGGGGTGACAAAGGATGTTGCACGTGAGTGGTAGGAAAGAAAAGTTTAACTAGGGCCATTAGGTTACTAATCCGGTTTGAACTCTCAGCGCTCTGGGATTTTTAATGACTCTAAATAGACAGGTCTTTGTACTCTCATCTGAAAGAGATTAGGCCACTTCCAGCTGCATAATTTCCTCCATTCTCTCCACCTGGTTCAGGCCTGACTCATGAGAAATAACAAATTGCATCACACCCTGCTCTCTGCTAGGTGTTCTTGCATGGCTTCTGTTCAAGTACTAACACAACCCTATTTGAACAGTGAGAGTTAACCATACCATAGCACATTAAAAGGGTAAAGGTGCAACATATTAATGAGATGCTCGTGTTGTCGGATGGTAATTAAATGTGTGCCCATTAGTGATCATGTTTGGCAACATGTGGGGCATTTTCTGTGTTTCTGCAAGTTTAAATTCCATAGCAGCTGAGTTTGGTCCAGTTTGGCAAGATGTAGAGTTTGGTCCAGTCTGGTAAGATCATCAAATTCCACTGAGAGTCAATTCAGCACATATAAATCTAAATCCCTGTTGAGTTCCAGATCAAACTGGATTAGGAGGAAGGGGTTGTGGTGAATACATCAGCCCAAATCCACAGAAATATTTAGGCTCCCATTCAAATCAGAGAGAGCTAGATACCTATGCAAGACTTAATTGCCTAAATACCTATTGTGAATCTAGCCCTGTGGTTTATCTGTGATTAGAGCTAATGATTTACTTCCTAAGGTAAAAGAAATTTATTCCAGCATAAGCAAGACAAAAAATTAAGTGCTCTTTTAAATAATGCAGGATGTAGCTACTCAGTCACAACAGAAAGCAATTATTGAATCGTTATACAATTATTTTATAAACTGATTTAATATCTACTTGTCTTGAAAACCACAGAATAAGAGCTGCATTTCCCCTTTCTAAAAGGTCAATATTTATTCCAGAGCTAGAGCAGTCTTGAAGGTAAATGAAGGGGAAAATAGAATCACATTTTGCTACTACAAGACACTCAAAACATATGTGAGTAATAACATAATGAATAAAATGTGGACAATCTTCAGTCCTGGGGCTAATGTCAGAAACCAAATAGATTCTGTTTGCCGACACCAATTACTTACACTCTGCTGCTTTAGCTATTTTTAAAAGCATTTGTTTGCTTTCAGTAACATGGGAACATTTACCTCTTGGTCCTCTTAAAATCAGCCTGGGTCTAACCAACTCCAATTTCCTTTACATTCTGCCTGAAGGGAGTTGATTTTTAACCTAGAAGTCTGCACTTTTTCCACTATATGAACCATAATAGGTTTGTTCTTCTACAGCAATCAATCACTTTTTAAGTTCTTAGCTGTGGGTGAGTGTGCTTTATGGCTGAATCAAAGCTGAGTGTTTTGCCAGAACAATGCTGAGTGTTTCTCAGAAACACAGTTGTTCTCTCTGCAGCTTCAGTGCACTGTTTCATATACAGCAAGAGACTCCCATCTGATAGAGCATTTAGCGAGCATGGTATTCTAGAAGCCTGCATCATTTTCATCAGCAGCAATGCAGAAATGAAATCTAACTTACATGATCCAGGTATCAGGAACCGTGTTTGACATGATAAAAGCTCATACTGAATTGGAAATATTAAACTTTTGCAACTGAGTCTTGTTGCAGCTGGTTTACAAATTGAAATGGGAGACCATCTCTCCCCTTGGATGTACACGTGTAATAGGGGTATGACAAGCACAATTGTGATAAAAGAAAAGAGTCCTTCTGTCATTGGCAGTGTGTTTGTGGCTTTGATTTTCTAATACAGCTAGTTTCATGACAACTGTCACTTGGCACAGTAATGGAAGCAGTTGGCTTCACATATACAGAATGTTTTCTTCTTTTATTTTTCCTAATTTACATTCCACACCACCCCCCTTCTCTCTAACTTCGTCCCAACCAAATGTTAAAAAAAGGTTAAGTTAAAACTCATAGAGTGGAATAGAGAACTGGGAAAATAGCTCTGTAATGCAAAACATGTATTGCAGTGACCCTTGGAAGAAGAGAGGCTTCTTTCTTAGATGAAAGGTATATAATTTTTCTATTCATTCAGTCTAAAAAGTTCTCTTCAGTACACAAAGTTTTCTGAATTACTTTGGTCAGTCCTGCATGGCAGAGCTGAAATGGTGTGTGTATAACTGATGGGCAGGAGTACAAGGTAACCTGATTCTGTATTCATAGATTTCATAGACACTAGGGCTGGAAGGGATCCCAGAGGATCATCGAGTCCAGCCCCTTGCCCCAGGAGTAGGAAGTCAGCAGGGATCATAGGATCCCAGCAAGATAAACGTCCAAATGTCTCTTGAAGGCATTCAAAGTATTAACAGGGCTGTTGCGTGACCGACTCTTGCCTGGTAGGATGAAGGTAGCCACAGTGTAGCTCCTTGGACACTCATTGTTCCCTGTGCCACTACCTCTTTTTTTTTTATCCTGTACTGTATAAGGATGCAGGTATGCAAAGGACTTGCCTCTTATTCTCACCCTTTAAACAGAACTACTTTGGACCTAATCTAAATCTCATTGAAGACAATGGGACTCTTTAGACTAGCTTTCAGGTCAGCTTTCTATACTTAGCACTAGCACCCACATATAGCTTCTGCTCACACCTGCAGTGCAGCACCTTATGCTTCCTGCTAAACAGTACAAAAGGACTTACAAAATCAAATCCTAAAGCATAAGGTGACTTGCTGTGAATAGTAGCCAATATCTAGTATTTCAGGGGAAAATGAAACCTCAGTCAGTATTCAGCATGGGGAAATTAGGCAACTAAGCCAGGAGGTATGAGATTTGGAGATTCATATTTTAGCAGCACCACAGATATTTTCTGGCTTGTTGTAAAATCAAGATAGAGTTTCAGTCCCTGTTGCTGAAAAATAAAGCAATTTATTAGTGGTAAGACACATGCACAGCTAGGTGAAAAGGAGCACTCAAAGAGTAGTTATCAATGATTTGTGGATGCAGGGAAAGCAGTTGGCATGATATAACTTGACTTCAGCAAGGCTTTTGATACCATCTCACACAGCATTCTTGCAAGCAAGCTAAGGAAGTATGAGCTGGATAAATGCACTGTAAGGTGGATAGAAAGCTGGCTTGATCGTCAGGCTCAACAGGTAGTGATCAATGATTCAATGTCTAGTTAGAAGTCAGTATCAAGTGGAGTGCCGCAGGGGTCGGTCCTGGGTCCAGTCTTGTTCAGTATCTTCATTAACGATCTGGAAGATGGAATGGATTACACCCTCAGCAAGTTCACAGATGACACCAAGCTGGGGGTAGTAATAGGGTAGGTCTAGGATTTAGAGTGACCTAGACACATTGAAAGACTGGGCCAAAAGAAATCTCATGAGGTTCAACAGGGACAAGTGCAAAGTCCTGCACTTAGGTGTTACCAGATTTGCCCATCACTTTGGGGTGTGCTCGTTTATTAGGGATATGTTTCTAGGGTCTTTGTAATTTAATTAATATGCTGCTTCTGTTACTTGTGTTTCTATACGGAGCTGTATCTTTCCCTTCTGCAGGTCCTCACCCCCAGTAGAGCTATCTTGTAGGACTCAGTTTCAAGGGTTCCTCCAGCCACCAAATTCGTCTCTCTCTCTCTCTCTCTCTCTCTCTCACTCACTCACTCTCTCTCTCACACACACACACACACACACACACTCTCTCTCTCTCTCTCTCTAATGTGACATGCCTGACCCGGCCAGGTTGATCAACATATACAAGCTGACACCCTCATATGCCAGGAATCAGTTCATTAAGGTAACAATAAAGTGCAGGCAGACACAAGCACACAGGTGAACAGAATACCTCTGAATCCGGCTGGGGGGCCAGCTGACACCCTCATGGGCCAGCATTCAGTTCATTAGGGCACATCTGAGCCAAACTGGGTCAATCAGCCTATACAAGCTGATCCCCTTATGTGTCTTAAACTCAGCACATCCCACTCTTTTGCCCTTACTTTCCTAATACTGATAGCCTCTTGATGAGCAGCGTTGCTGCAGAGAAAGTGGGGAAGGGGAAGCAGAGAAGAAAAAATACACCCAGTTACGACTAGTTTGACTATAAAAGTTATTTATTGCTAAGTATATGAAAGTTATGATAGTACTAGTAGTAATAGACATGCAAGGAAAAATGAACAAAAATGATTACAATATTACCCTGTTTTAATTGAGTATTTGGGGAAACCTAGCTCAAGCTTGACTAATAAAATTCAGGTTCAGAAAGCTATGCCTAGAGAGAAAGAAAAAGAGAGAGAGAGAGAGCGCGAGCTGGGATCTCACCGTTCCAAGGCACTTGGGTGGTTTGTTGACAGGCAAAGTTCCTAGCACAATAGTTGAAAGTTAAACAGGCGACCGAAAGAGATGATCTGTTTCTCCCAGCTTCTCAAGAGCAACAGCGGATGGTGTCAGAGAGATTTTTCTCTCTTGAAGCACACTGCTACTTTACAGCTTTCTTGTACCCTTATAGTCCAGCTTCTTCAAAGCATTTGTTTAATTGTGTAAATCAAGAGGGTCCCAAGCCATCATTGACAAGGAAAATCCTGTTATATAAGCAGTTTCAGTTTAGATGAATTACCTTTTTCAGTGACGAGGGATTATCTGGTTTGGAACATCTCCAGAAACTGATTAACAACCAGGAAAAACATAAAGTTTTAAGGAGTAACCAGACACATAGGAGCCAGCTTGAAATTATTATGAATATAGAAGATATACTGGAAGGGATACCACATTGTTTCTTCACAAATGGCCTAGCTATGCTTGCACTGTGAAGTCAGCATCAGTGTTTTGTATTTTACCTGTTGTGAATAAGCCTCAGCTGAGATTGACTTTCAGATCTTACTGTAGTCTTTTAACATACTTAAGGGGATTACTTGGAGAGTTCATAAACTTTGTGGGGAGGATTTGCACCAGTCATCTCAGGAAAAGTATGACAGCATTTGTGCTCAGGGCTCCAGTGGGCTGGACCCTGTGATGAACCCTTAACCATTGTTCAAATGTTGCCTGTACCCTCTCTGACTCGGTCTCTTGCCTCAGCATTCCCTAACCGGGCAACCAAGTTTTAGTCAATTAAGTTTAAATAGGCCTCCCATACTGGGACCCAGGAATGTACAGCCAGAGATGCCTATTCAACTTTTCTTCTGCTTAGTTTTGGTTAGCTGGCGGGGGGGGGGGGCCTTTGTAAGTCCAGCAAGCTGGGTGCAAGGGCTCCCTCAGGAACACAGAGCTGACAGGTAACACAGGACAGAACAATCCCATGCATCGCTACAGGCTTGGGACTAACTGGCTAAGCAGCAGCTCTGCAGAAAAGGACCTGGGGGTTGAAATTATGGAGCAATTGGCCGTGCATAAAAGCATAAAACTCATGACAAAGCATCCACTTAACACCAACAGCCCATCTCAGCCCCCCTAAAAGAGACAGGATAGGAGGCTGGGGCTGCTGCAGTCCCTGAACCCAGCCAGCTACGCGCCGCCATCCAGCACGGAAGCCCCGCCCCCTCCAGCGGCGCTGGGCGGAGCCAACCACTCTGCTCCCCCCACCCCCGCGAGGCCCAGAGGCGTGGGGAGGAGCCACACCCGCCGC